AGAACTGTTTTAGACAACGTCTATGGGTGACACAGTTCAGTACTACAGGATTGGAGAGGAGTCATTAAAAATTAATTATTTTACACTTCATCTGTTTGGTTTATACTGGGTACCTCTTGAAATTTGATTTAGAACTTTATCATAGAACAAGTGCTATCGTTCTGATATACTGCCTGTTAAACTATGACGGGCAGTCATAATGCTCTTCATAATGGTGTCCATCAAAAGTGCAGGCACATTGATCAAGATAACCACTGCTCGAAAAATCTCTTTTAAGGGTGCCTAGGTACAAGGATGCCGAAATTCTTGCACATATCATTTTCTAAATTTTAAAACATCAACCTTCATTAAGGTGTTCTCAACTTTATGCCGAGGCACTTCTGTGCAAATAGGGCTTTAGGTTGTTACTTTAACTATCAAAGCAATATGAAGACTGCAATTTTTAAGTTAGAAACTGATCTATATATAAGCGTATGGGACACTTATGTTGGGTGCCTTTATGAAAATTTCTGTTTTTGTTTTTAATACTGACCGGACATGCATAAAGTCTCCGCTCCTTGATGATAATGAAGGCAACCAGCACAAGCCACAGTTCCGCAAAGCTGAATTAAGTGTATTTATAGTACAGTATATTATAGTCTAAGAAATTTTTGGGCCATAGTTTGCTGCTCTTATTTATTTGCAAGAAATTCATATATAAATGGGCAATCGCTAAAACATCAGAGGTCTTACCAAAGAATTTGCACTGCATTCATGAACAGAAACAAACCATGACGCCGACTAAGCAGCCTTTTATCGTTCTTACATTGATCATATGAAAGACTCATCCATTTTAACATAATATTAAACTTTTAGCTGCGTATCTAAAAATTTCTTTAACCTAAAGATGCAATATTTTTGTTGTAATAATTGACTAAAGATAATTCATTTGGACCTAAAATCACATTTACCGTGAAATGGACACTACGTAAATCTGCAACAAACTTCTCAGACCTGATTAATTTCCACGATTCCTTTACGTCACGTCGCAGGAGTTGATTTACACCAATGGTACTATTAAACTTAATGTCATAACATGGAATACTTTTTAAGAGATGTTTTTCGAGTTTCATGACAGCATTTAAATACCGACTTAAAAAGCTTTTGCTATTTAAGAAACATACCTAGGCCATCATCAAATTTTTTTTTAGGAGGATGAGTTTATTTTTAAATCAGCATTAAAGGATTTATTTAAAAGAGTTCATTCATAGAGTTCAAATACTTTTTTTTAAAAATTATAGATTAGCTAAGCATTTAACTAGTTACTTAATTGATTAAAGGAACATAACATAAGGATGTTATGTGCTAAAGACAGGACCTTTTTAACTGAATTGATATTAATAGAAACTGGCTTATGTTTACGTCATATATTTAAACAAAAAAAGATCCTACACAGCCAGCTCATTCTCCGCAATTTGAAACATAGACGAATTACTAACATTTAATGGTTTTATCCATTCGGTCGTTGATAAACTCTACAATTTTAGTAGATATTATGAAACTTCTTCGCTTAAATTAACATCTACTTCATAAATTAGAAACGGATTCTACTCTTGTCGGGAATATTTATTTAACTGAATACGGCCGAACGATCGAAAAAGTTTTGCATATGGAAAAGTAGCGCTTTTCAAGAAAATTGTCTCGTATTTACTTTTTTTAATACGAGGTTTGCTTTAATTTAACACTAATTATAATCAATATAATTTAATATAATTATTTCTTTATTGTGAAAAAGACGTGTACGTTTCTTCGTGTTTGCTTAGTTTAATTTTTTTTTTTTTTTTTTTTTGAAAGGCTGATACTGTACCGATTATAGGCGTTGGCCACTAATAAGGCTGGAAGCGGTGGTCACTTTATTATGGAGGCAACTAATGGGGAACACCGTTGCCGCCTATGAAGGGGACAGACAATTTGCATCCATTGCCTTCTCCGGGATTCGACGGGCCTTTCGGTATGGCAGTAAGTAACCGCTTTGTCATCTGAGTTGTACTTAGTTTAATTTTGGTTTCAAAAATTTAGGATACATGTAAAGATTTCCCCTTTTTGATAAACTGTACAAAGGCGAAGTACAGTTATTACAAACTGGAGTGAACTCAAAACCTTTTCACATGGCATTTCCTTAGGAATTGCTTGCTTTCATTGGTATTTGAAAATTACATCAAAAACAATTAATTGCTATTTAAAAATTATTCACTTATTTAATTTTATTTTATGTTATTACTTCCTCTTTAGAAACTGCTAAATGAAAAAGTAACAGCCAAGGATTTCATGAATTAATTATTTGCAATTGACATCTTTTACTTGTTTTTCAGTTAAATCATTTAAAAAAGTTAAAAGCTGTGAGATATTTGGATGCTGTATTTTTTTGCTTTTCTTTTTAAAATATGCTCATGCATGCATAAAAAAGAAGAAAAATAATATTTTTATCTGAATTTCTGGCAAGAGAAAACCAAGAGAGATACACTAATCAGAGACACTAATATCAAATTACTAATATTAAGTTTAGCACAAAGCAAGTTTGGAATGGCATTGTTTTTACTATACATATTTTTTGCATGTCAAAAGAGATAGGCACTGGATCCATCTTCTTCAAACAGCTAAGTATTTCACTAGTTCTGATCCTTGAAGAAGCAGGACAGTCTCCTTCGTATGTTTTCGGTTTTTCTTATAGAACCAGCGTCAGTCTTAATTTTTGTTTAATTTTAAATATTAAGAGAGATTTAATTATCTTTTTACCGATTAGTTGTAAATAAACATTCTTTTTTTTAATCTTAAATAAAGGAGTTCTCCGTTTTCTTTTATTTGTCTCAAGATTAGAGTTTGTGATTGCTGATTTAGGTAAGGAATATGGAGAATTTCCTTCAACTGTCGTATCAAGTTCACACTCAAGATGTATTTCTCTTAACTCCACTCCCATTTCTCTGTTGTAAGAATAAATAAAAGACTGTGGGAGATTTGCTTCTTGTTGACACAATTGTCAACTTGCCATATCAGCTTGGCCAAATTCAGAGTGACACAATGTCAACGAAGTAGTTGATCGGTGTCAAAAATCACTGTATTCGTCGGGCGGGAACCAAGCTTGGGCTGTTTATTGTCTCAGACTTGTCAACAAGCTCCTGTTGCTCAAAGGTCGCTGTTGAGAACAAGATTGCGACGGATTTTTATCGTAGCTCATTGACAGAAAACTGTCGCATTATTTACAACTTTTTTCTGATGTGAGAATGGGATGTTTCCACCCGGTGTTAAGTTCTGGCACATTCTGATTGGAGTTTTGGAGTGTTTCTGATATTTCAAAGGCGCCCACGCCAAAGGCCGGGAAACAAAAGACTTCAAAATGAATTTCGAATTTTGAAATGAAGTTTCAGTGACACCCTCATATTTTATGAATAAAGAATCTGATTATCAATTAGTACTAATTAGTACAAGAAAGTAGATTTTAGTTTTTGTTATTTATAGTTTCATTCAACTTAATTACTTGATTCAAAATAATTCTTTACAAAAATTATAAAATGTTTAATTTCGTATAGTTTGTATAACTTTTAATATCGCTTTGTTAATTTTAATAAAACTAATACGCCTTCTTTTGTAGGAAATTCATGTTAATTTCCTTCAGCTTTAATAAGCAATAATTAAATGCATGTACAGGATTAAATTTTGTATCTCATAAAATAGTAACTAAAAATTTCAGCAATATAAGCAGTATATTTTGCAGATTATTAATTTCAGAAATTACGGTGATTTCTTACATGTGCAGCGTAAATATAAAACAGTCTTCCTTGGAAAATATCCAAGAAGACATCCATTCCCTTGTTAGATTTAGATAGCACTAAAGTACTTTCCCAAATCAAATGCAAATTATTGCAAACTTTATTATGTTACACTTTTTATTGAAATTATCTTGTATTATTAATGAAGTGCTATTTGCTTCTCGTTTATCATTAATTTCTGAGCCATTAATACTCACACTATTGTGGTCCAATATTAATTTAACATCGCTGTAACTACGACTGAATACGGAGTGGTGATGTAAGATGTAAATGTGCAATAAGTAACATAAATTGTAACAACAGATTACTATATCATAATGGAATTTCATGAAAATGAAATCGTATGTTCAAGGTAATACCATATTTCTTGTACATCATTACATGGAAGAAATAAGAAAAAGCTTGCAATAGTAAATATTGCTTTAGCTCAAATTCAATGACCATAGCTTGGCAGTTCATAATAAATTTAACTTAAACTGAATAGAGTGTGAATTCAATAGCAAAATGGTTTATTTACATATTAATATTTTGAGTGTATTGTCTGAAATGCGCTTTCTAACGCTTAAAAAAACCTGCTTTTAAAGGCTTGACATGTGCTTTAAAAGGCTTTGTACATTAAATGTTAAACGCGGTGTTTAGCTTTTCAGTTAGTCTTCTGAGCGTTGGTCTGTATGGACCAGCCTTAGACCAAGCAAAATAGGCTTCACGTTTAACATGTTAAACTTATATCTAGGATTTCTCTAAATTATAAGGTCTTGAAAATTTATTTCAAATAATATATACTTCTGTCTTTTAGCATAGTATTAAACAGAAAAAAATAGAATACATTATGCACATTAGTAAAAAAAAATAAAATGTAAATTCGTGTTTTTAGACCTACGCTGACGATGCGTTTATCCCATGGAATAAGAAATTAGTTCTAAACTTTTTAAACTGTTTTAAAGAGGAAAGAAAACGCATTCATTTGTTTCTGAGCTACCACAGTTTTTATCAGATTTGAAAACCTGATACGGAAGCCAGGAAAAAATATTATTCTTATAATTATTCTTTAAATGGCTGCCATTTTTGATTGATTATATTTGACGTATACGTCATTAAATCATTTTTGGAAACCTGAGTGCGGAATGCTAATCTGTTGCATGTGATAAATTTTAGAGTAGCAATTTATGATACGCCCTGGCAGGTGATACTCACCAGCTGGTTCTGGTACGCCGTAACAGCAGTGAAAACTGTTTCTGGGAAAACATAGGTCCGGAACTGCTCCGTTTCTATGTTGGTGATCGCTGGCGTTCCTTGAGAACTGGGCTTCAGCTTCACCAAATGAATTCGTGGTTGATATTTGTGCATAGAATTCAGAACTATCTGTAAAAAAGAATAAGGCATTAGCAACGTGAAAATTATTTTATGGATAACAGGCTTTAAAAGCATATAAAGTTTTAAAAGCATTAAGAACAATTGGCTTTAAAAAGGGACAAGAACCTTCAGATTTCAAGAATCTTCAAAATAATACGAGATTTGAAAGTTCTAATCTTCGAGCATTTTTCATCGTTTCAAGCCTTTCGAATTACATCCTGAGGAACTGTCGAATGTTTTAACTCAAAATTTAGAAAGATTGCTTTTACTGACATCTAATAAAAGCATTCATAAAAAAATCTGATGTGTACACCACATGACTTCCTTGTACGGAATATTTAAATTATACGCATTTTTTCTTGCATTTCGTTTAAACTTATTAGATTGAATTAAACCTATACTTCGCCGAAAGCGCATAAACCACAATAGAATAAATGCATTCTTTAAAACTCACTTTGTTTACCATAGCGACACTCTGGCGCTAGGTTTACTTAACAGTATTATATTTCGTTCATATTATAACTCAGAATGCACAAAATTTATATCATTCAAAGAATTATCTAATCGTTGCCACATGTTCTGTTCAAATACTATAACAAAGCTAGAACGATGTATAAAAGAAATTAAGCAAACAAAACAAAAAAGAAACAGTTTTTTCACAGACGATTGAGTATTTCTCATTCAATACATAAAAACTCAAAATATCTGTATTAAAAATTAAGAAGTAAATCTTAAACGCTTATTTCCTCGAAAATTTCCAGAAGGATTAAGCATGATTTAAATAATAAATGAAGGCGTTATCTTTGTTGTTGCGAAATTAAGTTTCTCTAGATTGGCAACAAATCCGCTATCCTGCTGTTTCAAATGTAAACAAGAGCAATGACCGCCATCAAAAACATTATTAGGCTTAGCGGCACTTAAACAATTTTAAAATTGTTGATAATTCTAAAAATATTGCATATAGATTTACTAAAGGCATAAAAACCTTAACCGGAATATTAAAAACAACATAATTCAATCATTTTTAAAGCAAAAAATGTACAATTTACAAACATATAAGAGTAAAGAAACTGAGATCACTGAGCCGGGTAACAGAGTGAATATATATAAATATATTTATATACGTTTGGTGCGGCTGATTGCAACCAAAATACGAGGTGCACATCTACATGTTATAGCAGTCCTATATACAAAATTTCAACGTTCTGAGGCTACTCGTTTTTGAGTTATGCGAGATACGTACGTACGTACATACGTTCGTACAGACGCCACGAAAAATTCTCTTCAGAATTCATTTTAAAGCAGTTTATAATTTTTTTGGAGGAAAAGAGTGTTTTATTCTGTCCTTACATAAGATATCACGGAAATACATCGTTAAATTGCATTTGAAAGAGGTCAAAATGGGATATTTTCGTTGAAATATGCTGCCTGAAACTTTTCGCGATTACAATACTTCCTTTTTACTTCGTACAAGGAAGTAAAAAAAGGAATATGAATGATGCAATTTCAGTGATATCTGTTATCAAGGTTAATATCACCAATATCATCTCGTCACTTGAGTATCCCAATCTTTTATTATGCCATTTTGAAAAATTTGCCGGAATTTGCAAGAAATAGGAGTGCGAGCGGAGCCTCTTCAGATGTTTTCGAAACTAATGCTGGAATTGGCTCTATAAATTTGAATTATTATTAATTGCTTCTCTATGTTTCATTCAACTATATCATGGTACATTAACTCTGCATCGCACACACAACTGCGACTGGCTCATCAACTTTACTAGGCCCATCAGCGGCCGAGCGGTAAAATCACTAAACACTTGTAATTCAGTCCGGGGTTCGAATCTCGGCCAACGGGCTGGCTACATGGGTATTTTCATGGTTTTTCTCACTTGTAACATGCATAACAAGCCAGTTCCCTTTAGAACGTCTCCCACGAAGGCAACCCAATCCTTAGACAAATAGCCCTCGATGGCTTATCATAATCAAATAAACCAACGAAATCAAACCTCTTAATTAGAGTTTATAATATTAAGTTAAACATTTATTTTTTCTTTTTCTCCTTCTTTTATTTTCTTTATTCAAAAATGAAGAACTCAAGAATTTTCTAGAATTAGAATCTGGGGTCGAGGAAAAGATGTTTCGTTTAGTTTTCAGTGTAAACATCAAAAATAGAGCAAGATATAGCAGAAGACTTTGAAAAAGAGGAACCCATTATTCTTAAAGAGAATTCCGTAGCCGACAACAATATGATAATTTTTTAAGAGGCAATTAAGATGTAGGATTAGACTGAAATTATGCCCCTTTTTAGTATTATCTTGATGACTCGATACGTACTGCGACCTTTCCATGCTTGCACCAAACAGTTAAAATATGTTACAATCTAAAACATTTGATCTAATAAGTTACTATTTCAGAAGTATTGTCCTTTTCAAGGACAGAAGTTACTTTTAAATTTGTATAGTCTAGTATAAGTATTTCGGAGCAAGGGGCATGAAAAATCAATTGTTATTTCACCAGGATTCGAACCACTGATCTTTCCCTTTGCTAAATGAATGTACTTACGCTTTAAATCGTGACTTACATTCTTCTCATTTAAAGGGGGAAAAGGGAGAGGTACGAGATTTTTTAGAGCAAATTCAGACGGTAATGAGTAGTCGTTCAACACGTTGTAATTCTATCGCCAGTATAGAGATCTGTTCAGTTTTTCAAAGCAGGATACATGAAAAGTCAATTATGTCCTCATTGGAATTCGTATCCCGAAATTTCTATTTGTTAGCTGGATATGATAACCACTTACCATCGACAACAGACTTGGGAAAATGTAATAATTCCTTACAAATTGACGCATTAATAATAATATGGAAAGTATTGTCGCCCAACCGGTATAGCGGCTAGCATCGCTGACTGCCATGCCGAAGGTCCCGGGTTTGAATCCCGGAGAAGGCATGGATGTTTTTAAATGTATAGTATCCATGCGACATGGGGACACTCTAAATATGCGACGAGTCGAAAAAGTCCTCTCGATAGGCTGGTGGTAGGCGAAGAGTGTTGAGAGACCCCGAGGTGCTATCTATCAAAATTGGAGGCGGAACTGAGCTAAACCACACTGTCAACTGTAAGGCGCTCAAGGCTGTTGCCAACAACAAGTGTAAACTTGCGCTACTTGTCACGAGCAATTTCGTGGGCTTGGGCTAACTATAGGTCAGACAAGTGAGCATTAGCAACAGCAAGCAACCTTTTTTCCTTATTTCATAACTATTACTAGTTATGAAATAAGGAAAAAAGGAGCATTCCTAAGTGAAAAAGAACATTACGGGGTTTAATAATTAATATTACAAGGAGCTTAAAAATTAAAATCATAGATGTTATGTAACATGCATATTGTACATATATTAATATTAAACTCATTTCTCAATTTCATACCTACCTTGCATAATATCATATGCTGCTTACACAAACCTTGGTACAGGTTGACAATTATCCTTATTCCTCTATTCGAATAAGTGGTAAAAAACACGAGGATTCATAGCTGGATTTCGTAAACGTGCAAATAAGCAGTCATAAATAACTTTTTTTGACAACATATGTTATAATAACAACGTCGGTTCAAACTCAGACAGTTGTCGGAAGTTCCCTCTGTTCACTTCCAGAAACTGTTAATTCGAGAACTACTTCGCCTGACTCTAACATTAATTTATATTCTTCCCGTCTTAAAGAAACACTAAAGACAATGATTACACCAACAACAATTATCGGGGGTGAGTCATCTGAGATGAGAAAAACATCTGGAGGTACTACACAGACCACAATATTGTAAATTCAGCCATCTTCAGGTTAAAGATACAACCGAAAATAATAATAAACGGGGGGGGGGTCTAATTTCTTTTGTTCCTATGTGACTCAATTTACGAGTCGCCGACATATGTTCCAAGCCTCGAGCTTCAGGCAATAACGTGACTGCAACAGGATACCTAGGTATTTTTTGCTTTTCGCATGGAAATAAATTTTAAAGAGCGTTTTTTCCATGAACTGCCCTCAGGACTTTTTAGAAAACCGTGAACTTCAATAGCCTGAAGTAGACAAAACTCTCAAGATCTTAAATGTGTGGAGGGAAAGGAATCATAATTATCTTTTCTCTTCCCATCGTAATATGGATATGCGAAGAACATAAATTTTTGGCTTTTTACCAATTTACGTATGTCTGATCGACTTATTTCTCCTTTGTTCTAAGCCGACAATTTTTGTTTCACTTATTTCATCGACGGTTAGTAGTGCGCTGATAAAGCTTTAGAAAAAGGCGTTAAAATGTTACATAAATTGAGCATAGTGGAGATTAAAAGGTCTCTAATCGGCTTTTCACAAGAGTATTATGTATGGCTGAAAAGAAAAGAGGAGAAAGCGAACAGACAAAACATCAACACTTCAGACTTTTCTGAAGAAGTAAGTAGTTATTTTGAAAATATTATGTTGGGATTTTAAGGAGGAATTCAGAAGCTCTTAGAGTCGACATAAAAGTTCTTAAAAAATGGTCAATGTCATTTCTAATGTTAGATTAAAACTTTTTTTGAGCTTTTAGTCGTTTAGTTGTTTCTGTATTTTATACAGACAGTCTGTTAAAGTGTGAAGTAATTTATGGATTATTACTAGTAGGAATAAAAAAATTCAGCAACTTAGAAAAAGATTTTGGCTTGAGAGAATTTCAAAATACCTGATGGAGACATGAGTTAGTGGCTGAAGCTACTTGGCATTTATCTTTTATAAAATGATTTACATTCTCTATTTTTCACCGACCTTTGAAAATAAGTTTAAAAAGCTGATATGCAGGCTGCTTGTAAAGTTGACTAACTTCTCCTAATGACTAATAAAGTTCTCAGATTGTCCATATGCTTGCTAATGGTATTGAATTTCTCGATAAGTTTAAAACTAAACTTATTTTATAAGACTGGCCCTCTGGAAGTCCAGTTTGCGCAGATAATTTTCTAAATTGTTGTACTATAGACATATGCTTA